GAAAGTGTGAAAAGGTACCAGCATTTTATACTTTTCAAGCCTTTGAAACAACTTAATCTGAAATTTTAACTCAAGGAGCTCTAGAGGGAGCTAATCTATTTATATACATGTATTTTTTTTAAAAGGCATCTCAAACCTCAACTGTGCTATTAACCAGAGTGATGATTCATTCATGCTCATACGGTAGTAATGATCCTTGGATTTATAAACGTACAGTAGTGTCAGATCCTAATCTGATGTAAATATGTGTTATCTGATTTTCTTCTCAGAATATTATTTCCTGTACAAGTAATTCACATGCCGTAACCCTCACAGTACATATGTGTAACACATGTCATAATTTAAAAAGAAAGTAATAGCTTTTGCTGATGGAAGACTTTAAAATATTTTTTCAAAAACACGTTTAAAACATATGATATATCCAAACATAGCTGTGGGTCTGCATGCACATATACACATCCCTACCCCAACCCACACTGGCTTTTTTAGGAATTTCCTTGGACTTTAAAATATAAGGAGAAGTAATTATTCTGAATGTCATGGCTGCCAGGCTACAAACACAGGAAAACGAAATTATGCATCAACTTCTTTTAGGTTAGGATAAAGCCAACCTAATTTAGAGTTTCTTTCTCCTTTAGGTTGGGAGATTGAATTGGGTTGGATTTACAATTCCCATAACCCAAGGCCCTGGATTAGAGATATGCCAAAGGCTTCATGGCAGAGCATCCCCATAACATCAACATCTCCATGCCTTCAAAGTAAATTAAGGCATCTCTCTACCTCAATTCAGTTTAAATTAAATTAAATCATAATTCAGTTTGGCAGAAATAAAGGCATCTTTGTGTTTTCCTTTGCAGAAAGTCATTTATGGTAGAGTTCTGGAAGAAATGAAATCCAGAGAAATGCTAAAATAGTTTTTAAGCACAAAAAGGAAATTGAGGAATGCTTAGGATGACATGAAGCATTTGGATTTGGCCAGGTATCTGTGAAGACAGTAGGCAGGTACATCATTTGAGGACCTTAGAGAAAGCATGGTGAGTTAAATTAGGTGGACAGAAAAGGTCTGCAGGATTTCTGGAGAGAAATGGTAGCAGCCCTGTGGAAGGCCCGCACTTTACGTGGAAGGGAGCAGAGGTACCCCTGCTGCCTCTGGCCCTCCCACACCTCCCTTTGGTCCTCTGGTCTTCATCTCACCAAATACTCCTGTTATACTCAGATGAACTCACCCGTCTTGTCACTGTTAGTTAACTTTTTAACTCTTACTCTGGAAGAAAATATAATGATAAACAAGATTTCCCCCCCTCAATTTCAACCCCATCAACAATGTTAATAATATGAACTTGCATACAGATGGCATATGTTTTTAATCTGTTCAAAGTACTGTACTTGATATTTAGTGGCTTAAACTTTTGTCAGACTAGGAGCATGCCACACAGTGAAGGAAAGAGCAGATTAATTATGTTTAAGCTCAAGTGAAAACACTAAGAATGGATAAATGGGTAAAATTAAGCAAACAAAACTATCAAGTAACAGGGCCACATTTTTTTATTAATGCTGAAATCATCAATATGATTTATAGGAATATCTAATTTTCCCTCTTACCTTAAACATTATTTATTTTAGAATTGTAATAATTTTAAAGTGCTATTGTCAGTTTCTCCTCCTGGCTGATTTCTATGTTGGCATGATTTTTAGAATTTCAACATTCCTTACTGATATGGATCTTTTTACCATTTAAAAAAATGTCCAAGTGAATGAAATGCTGTATATATGAAAAGGGAATTAATCAAATGAGTTTATTTATGTAAGAGTGTTATGTATTACTAAGAAGTAGACCTCGTGTAATACAGATGAAAGAACATGACATATATCCACGGTCAAGTCACGGTTTTGTCACTTTGTGTCTGGGTGGCCTTTAACTAGTTTCTTAAACTGTCTGAATTTGCTTATCCACAAATAGGGAAAATAATACAAGTTTTGCATACATTTCCATATTATTTGAGAGTAAAATGAGAATTGTATTTTATTTTGAAATTTGGAAACTGCTATTCAGATTAAAATAAACATTATACACAGACAAATAAAAGCAAATTTTAATTGTAACTTTACAATGTATATCCTATTAAGCCATTGACCTTTAGGATGTTGATGTCTGAGGTATCAAAATTTGTCATCACTTCTATCCAACTCTTGATACCATACTGAAGATATTATAACAAAAATGGAATGGATGTTGACCTTAAGTGTAATTATTCAAAGGGATCTCTTACTGGATATTTCATAATTTATTCAAGAATATATGGAGACATTTAGATCACATGGGCTTATCTTTTTTACAGACTAAGATTCCTTTGAGAATCTCATGAAAGTTAAAGATCTTCTCCTCAGAAAAATATTCATATGCCCATATAGAAAACATTTTACAAAGAATTTCAAGTTGTTCATATCAATGGATCCTAATTAAATACTGCCATGTCCACCTTAGATTGTTATAGAGAATCTAAGGTGATATGATGATATGGCTTTCCCCCTTTTAGAGAGCGTTTTCCAGACTATTGGTCTTCTGTTACAGACCATATTGTAGAAGGATTTTTCCTGCCCAGCTGTGCTTCCACTCGTTCCTTGCTTTGGCTATATTTCATCTAAGGTCTGTCTCTTAAGCAAACTCAATTCCATCTCCCTGCACCATTGCCTCTCTCTGGTATTTTTCATCAGTGCTCATTCACAGTGGAAGAAGTAACTAAGTCACTGTGACCCAGACTAACAAATGCAAGAAGCAGAGGGTCTGGACAGAAATGGCAGTTGCAAGTAGTTCCAGGACTACTAAATTAGGCTGCAGCAAGGCTGGAACAGAGGTAAATAGTCCAGAAAGTTAAGACTGTTGACATATTCACTTATTCACAATTCTACTAATCCTAAACAGTCAAATGTTGGAAATTCTTTGCTACTGGGTTAATTTGTAAACAGCTCTTCATTAAGATCTTCTGGAATTTGGCCATTCCCCACCTGTGATAATAAAATATGAAAGTGATTTTTAAAGTGTAAAATGCTATAACAGTGTAAGAGAGTATCATATTGGATTATAATGTGACGGTGTGATATGATGATAAATTGCGTGTTATCACTTCCACTGTATGAAACGTCAGCCAGAAAGACAAACAGACTACAGATATTTTCCTCTGGTAGTCCCTCTAACAACTCTGTATTTTTCCAGCTTGTAGAATTTTAATCCCCAGGTTTTCTATTTTAACACTAACTCCTCACCAATTCATTACTTCATTGTATCTCATTTCACAAATGGCTCTCAAGATTTAGTGTCTTCAGATGCTGTCTTAAGTAAATCTGCATATGTTAACAACAGCCACAACAAAATCCAGGTCAAATATTTTAAAACGCAAGCATATCCTTAGAATACCAGAAAGCATGTTCTTATTTTGTACTTCAGCAACAATTGGTCTAGATCTCTAAAAGTGTTACTATTTAGAAAATGAGAATAAGGACATATAATTTCTTCATAAGCCAGATGGATTCACTATTGTGGAATTTGGGGTTTTATCATCTAATATTGGTTTAAACTTTTATATGCTAGTGCCAGTGTGATCCAATGAGAATGTATTTGTAAAATAAAATCCAGAAGAAGGTAGCATACTACTTAATAATTCATATGAAGTATTAATTTAGAGTATTATTTTATGCTTTGAAAAGTATTATTGGTATTGCAAGATAAATTTTTGCAGTAATATCATGATGTTGGTAACCAATATTGATTTTAAAATTTTTACATTATATAAGCAGAAAACACAGGGCACAAAGAGTTGAGGTGCAGAAGTGTTGGTGAGGTAGCATTAACAGTGAGCTGGGTTCCCATTAGGTAGTATTCATTGAGACATCATGTGCATATGCTGGGCTTAAAAAAATTTAAGAGAGAGAGAGACATTTTAAATTCAGAATGCCAACAGGCATCCTTTGGTATCGTAAGCATGGTGTGCAATATTCTTTCTCTGTATGCACTTTCATCGCCATTCAGAATTCTCTTTTTTGAAGTGCACTATTATATTTTTGATAGACAATTCATAGAAATTAACAGCAAATGATAAATTGTTCTTTTTTTCAATAAAAGAATTTAGAGGGAGAAAAGACACTTGAAGCAAAAAGAGAACATTATTGTGAAATGCAAGGTTACTATTTATGATATTTTAACTGTAATTTTCAAAGCTTTCTTACATTTGTTACACCAAATTAGGGCCACTAGTGTAGTAGATTAAAACCTTTTTTCAGTTCTTCTGATGTAGAAATTTTCGCTTTTAATTTCTTTATCTGGCAGACCACTGATGAATCCATCGGTATCTCCAAGCCAAGCAAATCTTTTTTTGTTATTTTTAGAAGCTGTTTTGTTTTGTAGAAATAGCATTCTATAGGAAGAAGTTATTATAAAATGTAATAGTTTGCCAACATAAAGAAATACATTAGAAAGCAAAATTATATTAATGGGCTTTGAATGAAAAATATCTTTGTGGGCATTTAAAACACCAAGGAATTACTAAATTGGAAAAGTCAAAGCAAGATATCTTTCTTTACTGATGTACCATCTACTGAAAACTAGTAGAAGTTGGTCCTAAGTAGCTAACAGTGAACCCTGGGTACTAACTTCCCTGAAGCACTGAAACAGGAAGTGGTGGAAGAAACTTGTAAAAGAAACCCTCAGGGATTCCCCTGTGATCCCTTTAATCCTCGAATTGTCAAACCACATGGAAAATAATAGAGCTGCGTAGTTCTAAGACTTAAGTGGTATTATCTTTTTAAAGGAAAATGTTAGGTCTTTTCACATCTCTGAACAAGAATAGGGTATGTGTTCAATGCAAAAAAGAGTAACTTTGAACCAGAGATACATATTGCTTTTTCATTTTTAATATAATATTGTTGTTATCTCTGACTAAGCAGGCTGCACCCAGTAGGAAAAACAATTATAGCCAATATTTTATTTTCCTTTTTTAAAACAGATGATTCAACGAGAAGCAGATGTAAAAAATAAGGTAACTGCTGTGGCATTGACAGACTCTGTTCACAATTTTTTTTTTTTTTTTGCTGGCAAAACGATTCGAGAATGGATGAGAGAGGTGAGACTTGTTTTTTTTTTTTTTTTAGTGCTGAGATGAATGGGTGTGAGCCTTTATGTCTTCAGCCCCCACCAACCTGTAACACCTCCCATCCTCAGACTCCCTTTCTAGAGGCAGAACATTGCGAGGAAATAGAAAATGTTAGACATGCTTAAAATAATAATAGAAAACCCGTGTGAAGAACCAATATTTTTGAAACCCCCCTCCCTTCTTTTTGGTTTTCTGTAGAACACTGTGTGTATAGTGTTCAGTCTAAGGTGGGAACTTGTGCTGAAAAAGGTCATGGAATTAAGAGATTCTTATTCCCTGATGCTTAATTTTTCCACCAGCTATTTAGCATTGGTGCCGCTTAGTTACAAGAACGACGCATAAGGTACACTTGGTCTCCTTTTCTTCTTGAAAGGCAGTCAGTGTGTGCCACTCTTAAATGGATTGGCTGACTACATCCAGTAGAGGGAAGAGAAGAAAAAAGCTGAAATGCTGTTATGCCAGACCCTTGAGCTAAGAGAAACCCAGGGGCTAGCCATGGTTCAGCCTTAGGCTAAGAAAGCTTCTTTTCATACTTCCTAAGGGCTGGTGAACCTGAAAACTAACAAGGATTCATTGAATACGCTCCCATTATTATTATTTTTTAACTTTCAGCCTGTTATATTTTTTATTCCTATGACAAATATCCAGCTGAAATTTTCTTTTATTTTTATTTATCTTTCTGATATTATAAGCAGTTGGCATCAGCCACCCATGCCATAGTAATTGTTTAATCAAATCATTTACTTATATAGTATGAATGAGTTGATTGACCTTCTTGGTTTTCTTCCAGTTTTTCTTGATAGAATACCTGGTGGCCCTTCAGCTGATACACATAGGACTGTGTGGTGGGTAAATTCTACCAGCCTTCATGGTGCACTGTAAGGACCACAGAGTTAATGTCTGAAGAGATAGAAAAATTAGGCTATATAATTTCATAGTAGCGTTATATTATCACCAGTCTGTTATCACTTGTTTTTCTGCATTAGAAAAAGTACTTTCATCATGCAAAAGTCTAAAATATTTTTATTCCAGTCCTCTTAATACTATAAACATATAAAGATGGGTTTTTTAAATCTTTTCTAACATGTAGGTGTTTGATGATGACACAGAAAGCTCCCAGCATTATATAAATAGTAAGGTTAATAAATGAGCTGTTAGTAACTTTTCCCCACACACATAACTAGTATGGAATTCGATACTTGGCTCAAACTAAAAACATCCTTGCTCATGAGTTTTTCATTCCTGATGACAAATATAACAAAATTTATTTAGGTTTACTTTTTAAGTATTTCTAACTAAAGCTGGATTAGGTGTTCCTTTCAAAAGTCAGAATATATTAATCTGTGTAGCTTCCATCTAACTGACTAGACAGTAGTTGAATTCATCATAATTTAATCAAGGCTGCCATTAATTTCTTTGCAAGCATAGCTGTTGTAAAATTTATAAAATTTTATAAATGCCCTAGTTCTTGGATAGTTCTTTCAGTTCCCTCAATTAAGCCTTAGGGAAGCAATTTGAAGAGTTTTGTATTTTGACCTATCAAAATTGATATCCCAGCTCAATCACTTACATAACTTTGTAGTTTGAAGCAAGTTATTTTATCTCTTTGAGATTCTATTTTCTCATCTGTAAACTATAATACCTACCTTGCAAACGTGATGGAAAATAACATATGTAAAGAAATAGCACAGTTCTTGGCACTTTAAAAAAGTTCGGTAAGTTAGAGCTGTCACTGTTGTTACAGTCTCACTCCCAAATAATATAAAACACATAAACTATATTCATCTTTTGTTTTATGAATGGTTTGCCTATTCAAAATATCTTACAAAAAGGAAACAGGGTGACATACTGGAAGTAATTCAGAACAAGCATATGGGAGAACTAAATTTTGATAATGACTCTGGCTAGGTAAATCAATAATTAAGAATCTAGCATGTACCAGCTAGTTTGCTAAGATTTATAATCTTGGAAAAGCCACTCCATCTTTTTGGGTCCGTTTCATAATTGAATTGGAGACAGTAATTCCTATTCCATCTACTTCATGAAATATTGTGAGAAGCAAAGGTGATAATCAAGGATGAAAGCTCTTTGAAAAGCAAATGGTACTATATAAAGAAATGAGATGTGTTATTATTGAAAACACTGTAATATCTCAGAGATTTAACTTATTAGAGCATTCCTGATGGGGCTTTGAAATTACCCCTGTTCAGTGATCTTCTCCAAAACGAGAACAAAAAGAGAGACTGTAAAAGTGTATGACAGGTATCCTTGTAGGAACCCACCTAAATGTGTGACCTCTTATAGAGAAGATTACAGTGTGGTTTGGCAATATAAGAGTCCAGTGTTTCCGAACTCTCAGGATGAAACTTCCTCCCCTTTTCTTTCTCCTTTCTTATTTCCTATCCTCTCTGCAAGACTCCTTGAAATAATGAAGAGAAACAAACCTGGATTACAGGAAAGGGCGGTTGCCTTAAGCATGGGTGTTGGAAAGTTTAAAAAAATGTAAGTATGTTTAAATTAATGTGATACGTATAAGTGGCCAACAAACGTATGAAAAAAATGCTCGACATCACCCATCATCAGAGAAATGCAAATTAAAACCAAAATGAGATACCATCTCACACCAATCAGAATGGGGATTCTTATACACTGTTGGTGGGAATGTAAATTAGTACAGCCTCTGTGGAAAACAGTATGGAGATTTCTCAAAGAGCTAAAGAAAGAAGTACTATGTGATCTAGCCATGTCACTACTGGGTATCTACCCAAAGCAAAAGAAGTCATTTTACCAAAAAGACATCTACACTGGTATGTTTATCGCAGCACTCTTCATGATAGCAAAGTCTTGGAATCAACCTAAGCATCCATCAAAGGATGACTGGATAGAGAAAATGTGGTACATATCTAAATATATGTATATAGATATATAGAGATATATACTTTGGAATACTACTCGGCCATAAAAATGAATGAAATTATATCTTGCAGCAACATGGATGGAACTGGAGGCCATTATCTTAACTGAAATCACTCAGAGACAGAAAGTCAAATACCACATGTTCTCACTTCTCAGTGGGAGCTAAACAATGGGTACATACGGACATACAAAGTAGAATAATAGACATTGGAGACTTCAAAAGATGGAAGGTGGGAGATGAAGGATGAGAACTTATCTATTGGGTACGATGTACACTGTTTGGGTGACAGTTACACTAAAAGCCCAGACTTTACCACTATGCTGTAGTATATCCATGTAACAAAAATGCACTTGAAAGTCCTAAATTTGTAACAATAGGAAGGGATGTGATGAAGTTACTGATGTTATGCATTCATTTTTTGAAAAGCTAATTTTTAAACCTACCAATTTAGCATACAGAACAAAGGTTAAGAAATATATTATTGTATTACTTGTGTAATTGATAAATATCAGTAACAGTTTCCTTTAAAGAAGGAAGGTCAGGCCGGGCACAGTGGCTCACACCTCTAATCCCAACACTTTGGGAGGCCGAGACAGGTGGGTCACCTAAGGTCAAGAGTTCGAGACCAGCCTGGCCAACATGGCAAAACTTTGTTTCTACTAAAAATACAAAAATTAGCCAGGCATAGTGTCAGGTACCCATAATCCCAGCTACTCAGGAGGCTGAGGCAGGAGAATCACTTGAACCCAGGAGGTGGAGGTTGCAGTGAGCTGAGATCACGCCATTGCACTCCAGCCTGGCCAACAGAGCAAAAGCTCCATCTCAAAAAAAAAGAAAGAAAGTCAAAGAGTAGTACTACTTTGAGCAATTACTCCAAGTGAAACCTATTCTGAACTAAAAGACCACGCATAGATGCTAAGCCAGCCTCTTGAGGAGAGGTAAAAGGTAAATGAAGGCAGCTCCTGAGGAACTTCTTACTTCAAGCCCCAGGACTGTCTAGGCTGAGTGGGCAAATGTTTCCCAACATACCCCTGGCCTCTGAAATTCTCCAGCCACACCAGATGTACGATTCTATGTAATAGTTGTAAACCCTTCCCATCACCATTCAACTCTGAGTGTAGGGCCTTAGAAACTTGACCTAGTGAACCATAGTTGTATTTGTCCATGGACACAAAACGTTTCACATTAAAAAATCAACCTTTAAAGCAATGGTGATTTACAATTCAGACATATGCAATAAAAATGAATAAAAATCTGGCTTCAACCAAGGCAGTAAGCATCTCCAAATACCTCCAAACACCTTGCACAGGAATAGCTACTACCTACTTTTCTCTTTAAATATAATATACTAAATTGTAATCTTTTTATTTAAAAAAATTATTTCAAACCTACTCTGAAATATTGTTGACCTTGGTTCAAATGTCAAAGGGAATCACTCAGCACTGTGGCCTGTAGGCATTTCTAATCCATATCGATAGCGCCCCAAATTTTGAAAAAAAAAAAAAGGAAAATTTACAACCACAAAAATCTATAGGATCATCATTTTAGGGTAAAAAAAATGTTTAAACTGATAACACTTAGCTTAAAGAAATACTTTCTACATACCTATTTTTCTCTTTTTCCTTCAGATCCAGAGAAACATTAGTCATGTAGTCTGTCCCTATCTGCCTGCCCTGGCCAAGGACTTCTTTCTCTATGCTTGTTTGTTGGAACTAGGGGAGGCTGCATCTGAGTCTCAAGCATGGCACTATTGGTACCTTGAGTTCAACATACCTTGTTGCCTATTCAGGAGACCTGAGAATAAATGTCAGGGGCTGCTAACCCTCTCCAGCATGTTTTGAATTTAGGTAGGGCTTTCCTAGTGGGCTGCCTGCATTGCTACCTGTAACACTTTGGTAGTGTTCATCTCAAAAAAAAATTGGAATGGGGACAAAGTGAGGCATTGAAAAAAGGGATACGTAAGTATTAGAAAAGCATCGAAAGAGACTTGACTTCTAAACTATAGTAACACATTTCAGAATAGGGAGTTAGATTTGATAAAATAAAATTTCAGACAAATTGAATTTAGATATAACTGCATGTCTTTCTTTGCATATGTTTATGTTATTTTATTTCATTATACTCTATCATATAACAAACATTTAACTCACACACACACACACACACACACATTTTCCCAATGGGGTAAAAATGCCACATACCCCTGCACACACACACACACACACACACGCACACACACATACACATACACACTCTGAAATGGCCATATCAAATGTGTGTAGTTGTACACAGGTACTTTGTCATTGCAGAGAACTTTTGGACATACTCACTTTAACTATAGGGTGTTCAACTTCTGTCCAGTTTTTATGAGAGATCAAAGCCTTAAACACGTGGCCAGATAAAAACTGAAATTTCACAAACATAAAATGTTAACCTATATTTTGCTTTAAGTGTTTGAATTAAAGGTGATCTGAGCAAACTGGACAAAAGTTCATTTTGTTCAGCTTTTTAAGGTAACAATTTAGAAAATGATTAATCGTCTGCATATTGTAATGTGCCATCACTTGTATTAATACTAGAAAATCCTATAAGACGTAGCTTTACGTATGTGAAGTGTAGGTGAACAGTAGGAAGACCAACATATCACCTGGTTAATAGCTGACTTTCATCAGATTTGGAGGTACTAGTTGGATGAATAATAATTAAAATACATACAGTACCTAATCGCTGCCTGTCTGTCGGTAGTGCTAATTGCTGTCATTGAAAAGACGGAATTGTTTAAAAAAAAGAGAGAGAGAAAGAGAAAGTCATTCTTCATTGAAGCTATCTCCCTGTATCATTGGGAGCCTATTTTTAGTACCTATAGAAGTCATGATTTTTGAATTTATTAGAGGCTGTGATGAATGATAAAACAAATCATCCATTTACATATCTTGACACTGCTTTGGAGAATACTTATTTCTTACAAGCAAGTGTCACATTGTATATAAAAGCTGGCTAATTGTGTGCTAATCTTCTGCATTATCTAGAACTCTCTGATGTGGTGTTATATCAATGGTAATATTAATTTTACTTATTTCAAATGTATGAAATATCTTCTAAAACCCTATTCCTTTTATAATTTCTACCCTTACATTGTGTAGTTTTGCATTCAACTGCTAATTAAGATTAGGAGAACACATTATAGAATATGTATCCATTTTAAACCACCAAGCTTTTGTAATGCATGAAAAATACTAATATTTTATCTATTTTAAATGTAAAAAGAGAGAAAGCATTTAAGAACATTACTACATGTTATGTTTGTTTTCATGTTTTTTTCCTACACAGTTCAATAGTTTCATTGATCTACTGTTTCTTACAAAAATCTGCCATGCTTTGTGAACTTCACTTTCTAATCTCATACAGCAACCCTTCCTTTATGTTATTCCTGCTCTCCCTGGTCCCAGAACAGTAGGGTTGCCTTGACAAATCTATTCAAAAGCCATTCCTCGGCCTTTATTGGTGGGGACTGGGGCCTTTGAAATTCTCTCCTCACTGCAACACAGCTGACATCTTCTTCCAGACAGAATGAATTAAGGAAATACAATAAGACACTTGATCTACCAGTCAAGGATCTTTCCACAGTGAGGACGGATTCCATGGTGCACAACCAGGGCAGCAAGCATCTGAAAATACACAATACATGCAAAAAAAAAAGAATAGCAATCACCGATTTTTCCAAAATGATTGATGGGATGATTTCTTTAAAAAAAAATCTGTCTGGAAATTCATTGTGTGTGTGTGTGTGAGTGTGTATGTGTCTGTGTGTTGAGAAATGTTTTAAAAACCGTGTGATGATAATCACATATTTTTAGCCAGACTTCAAATACAGACTTAAAATGTATAGAAGGAATATAGATTATTTTATTTCTCTGAATTGTAAATCATTACCTTACATCGTTACTATTAAAAATTACCTAATTTTTATTATTGGAGGCTTTGTGTCCATAGACACACAGCTACAACTCACCAGATGGTGATTCTTTATAACTATTTTGATACAGCCTTCATTAAAGCAGGTAAAAGTAAAAATTAAAAAATAGTTTTTTTATATGGGTCAGATTTTGAGGAGTAAATACAAAATTCATTTATTCTGGTATTACGCAAAGAATATAGTTTAAAAATTGGCTATTCTTTCTTGTGTTCATATTAATATTTATTTTAATCTAAAAGTTAAAAATGGATACTTCTTTTATTTTCCCTTAATTATAATACCTTTATTTGTTTACTGCTTGGCCATCTAAACTTCACTTGGAAATATATTGCATCATGGTTCATGGAAGGTTACATGTCATCTTATTTATTTTTTGAGATGGGGTCTCCCTCTGGCACCCGGGCTGGAGTGCAATAGAGTGATTTCAGCTCACTGCAACCTTTGCCTCCTGGGTTCAAGCCATTCTCCTGCCTCAGCCTCCCAAGTAGCTGGGACTACAGGCATGCGCCACCACGCCCAGCTAATTTTTGTATTTTTAGTACAGAAGGGGTTTCACCATGTTGGCCAGGCTGGTCTCGAACTCCTGACCCCAAGTGATCTGCCCGCCTCGACCTCCCCGCAAAGTGCTGGGATTATAGGCGCAAGCCACCATGCCCTGCCCTTACATGTCATCTTAATATCAGCACAGATGGTTTGCTGAATTGTAAAACAAAAAAAAAAACCTTTTTCACAGTCATGTTAATTATGAATAATTACTGACTGTTTACGTAAGAAAAAAATGTTAAGTGTATTGAAAAATAAATTGAATACAGTCTAGTGGTTGATTTCATAGGATAAATTAATCTCTTCCTCAGCATTTGGTCTTGGCTTAAATTGTATTTCAACAATATTGTCTCTATTACGTTGCAGAACTGTTGTAATTGGGTCTCTAGCTCAGAACCATTAGACACATCAGTGGAGTCCATGCTACCTGATTGCCCCCGAGTCTCAGCAGGTATGTGTTTGATAAGAGATATATGATTGCTGTTGTTTATCAAGGTGAAATATATGCTAATGAAATGTAGAATTCTATTTTGTGAATTAGTTTGTTTTTGTCTTTCAGTTGTTGGATGAATTATTGGTAATATTATGCATGGGTAGAATCCTCTATCACATATTTGTTAAGCAACTTAAAATGCTTACCAACAAACTCGGTAAGATGAATAGGTGAAACAATTCAAGAGTAGTATAGACAACTGCTGTTGAAACTTAGAGAGATAAGACATACATGCATGGATACCTAAACAACAAGGATTGGGCAGACATACAGGATCTTTCATAGGATATGTGTCTCTGAGTTCCAACTCAATGATATGACAGACAGGCAATGATGTTGTGTGTCCTAGAGACTTTAGAAAAAAATATTTCATGTAAAGATTTTAGTTGCTTCTTGTGTTAGACAGACAGACTCTGGACTGTGGGAAAACATGCAAGATAGCATCCTATGCAAAGGAGACAGAGCAATTTAAGGAGCAACAGCAGGAATGGATCTGAAGATGTTCACAGGGAACAAAGGCAAGACTGGACTGCCTATTGAAAGGGAAGAGGTGAAGAGGTGAGCACGTCAGGAGCAGTTGGACTCTAGGAAGTTTAAGGATAGCATTGATTTCCAGCCTAAAGTCTTTGTATTGGAGTCACTAGATAAGAAGAGGGAATGACATTTGTAAGCTTTCTGGTTTCAACTTTCACTGTTCTCAACCAAGTGAGCAGTGGCATCTTGTTATAACTGATAGCAGAAATGGGTTTGCTCTGGCCATGGGTGCTGGAGAATGGGTAAAAGTTTGGAACACAAACTACTTTATGTTAACAATCGTAAGTGATAGCTAATCACTGAGTACTTAAAGTTGAAAATATGTGTACATATTTGAAGAAAATAATTTGGAGAATAGTTCAGATTCTAGGTATAGAACTACTGTTACAATTAAACGTCACTATCAGTAATACCTAAACTTCAACTGAGTTTCACTATCATTATAGCTGAATTTTATAAGTCTATAAGCCAGGGTTCAACCACAGAGACAGAACCACTAGAAGATGTATATGCTACTATACATACACATAGAGATAGACATATACACACACATACTTATGCACATATGTATATATGTGTGTGTTCTTAAATATCATACAATCAATTTTCATTATTTATGCTAGTTATATAATGCGAAGTCACTAAAAACACTGAATTAGCAAATAATCATAGCTCCTAGATGAAATACAAGGCCAGGTTCCTGTGAGCTTCTGGTCACATTTTTGTCAACCAATCAATATGTAAACTTGTTTATGTGTGTTTTGTTTAATGACACCTTATTTAATATATACTGTTGATTCATTAACATTGAGCTCATGGCCAGCAGCAGTGTAACTCAGGCCTCGATGAAGCTTACCTAACACATATTTTCTCCATAAGGCATAACACAGCCTTCTTGTGCTTAGCAACACTACACAGCACTTCAGCACTACATTTGGGGGCTATTGTAAACAGTGAAACCAAAAAAAGGCACAAAAATAGAAAACTGTGGCACTAAATAGTCTATAAAAAGGATACTTGTTCACAATGTAAGAACTGAAACAAGAAGGCAGGGCATGACCTTGTTCAGCCTTAATTAAGAATGAATGACTCAAATTTTTCACCATTCTGCATATGTGCATTTTGCAAATAACTGCAAAAATGCCATGAGTATGGATTTTGGGGTTACAAATAAATTTTAGTGAGTAGGTGAATTTGTAAGTTTAGAATCCACACATAATGAAGACAAACTGCATATAGGAACGGATTTGTCACTGGGACTTTACCTGAGGCTGGTTGAGCAATCTCTGTAAGGATGTTGACCTTATATCTGATGGAGGAGCTTGAGTTCACAGAGCAGGCAGTTGGTAAGGGAAGATGAATGTGAAGTGGCAGAGACAACAATGAGCTAGAACCCATAAGCGAGAGCTGGAGTTCAGGAAGGTAAGCTTAAACCCACATCAGGTTTGTTTGTTTGTTTGTTTGTTTGTGTGTATGTGTGTTTGTTTTTCCAGAGTCTCACTTTATCACCCAGACTAGAGTGCAGTGGTGTGATCTTAGCTCACTGCAGCCTTGATCTCCAGGGCTCAAGTGATCCTTTTTTTTCAGCCTCCCAAGTAGGTAGGACTACAGATACACACTGCCATGCTCAACTAATTTTTTTGATTTTTAGTAGAGACGAGGTCTCACTATGTTGCCCAGGCTGGTCTTGAACTCCTGAGCTCAAGCAGTCCTCCCACCTTGGCCTCTCAAAGTGCTGAGATTACAGGCATGAGCCACCACACCTGGCCCATATCAGTTCTTGTTGCTTCTGTCTTGTTGCTTCTGTGGATGTCTTGTAGAAGCCCTGTGCCCTTTGTCATGGATCTAAACACCTGCACCTACTCCAGGAGTCAGAGCTGCTGAAGGAGAATTCACGGGAAGGTGGAGCAGATGCAGTCCTAGCTATTGCCTCACACCACAAGGCAAGCCAGCAGATAAGTGACAAGATGTGTGAACTAGAAATGGCTGCTGCTTCACTTTACCCCTCCAAATTTTCCACAAAAAAATCTCCCTTATGTGCCATCCTAACCAGAAACAGACAGGAAAGGAATTCTGGGAAATGTAGTTCAACCTAACCAAACTGACACATTCAAAAGCCACCACAGTCCACCTCTTGCCAAGTTGGCACTGATGTACATCTCCTCAAAATAGACTTATTGTCCAAATAACGATGTTAATATTAAGAAAGTCATGCTTCCACCAAATATCATACAGCCATTTAAATGTACAATCGAAAACACACTACAAGCAAAAACACACTAATCCCTTTCCTAGAAGAGGGAACAGAATCCCTTTATTGTCCTTTGCTGATATTCATTCTTCTCACCCTTGGTACCCTGTAATTTAAATACTGAGAAATAAAAGTTAATTACTTTTGACAATGTGTTATATTAGATGATAAAGGAATAAGAGAGAACATGAAAACAGAAATATTTAACTTATATGTATATACAAAAATATTCATATCAAAATAAGTACTACTACATGCTTTGTTTTTGTAACCAGTTATGTTGGTATATACTTATAACTGGTATTTATAACTTATATGTAAGTTATATATATAAGTATTTATAACTTATATACTTATAGCTGGTATTTATAACTACCTTTTTCTGTTACCCATTCAGTACAGATATACCTCAAAGATATTGTGAGACCCATTCCACACAACTGCAATAAAGCAAATATTTAATGACACCTAAAATAGTAAATCCTTTCCAGAAGGATTTCAAGTAACTTTGCCCCAGATTCATCAGAGGAATCACTGTCTCTGGCATCCATAGCCTTACAAAATGTGTATCTTAAATAATGAGACTTAAGAGTTGAAATTGCTTTTTGTTACATGGGCTACAGAGTGGGTGTTGTGTTAGCAGTCATGAAAACAACATCAATCTCCTTGTTCATCATCAGAGCTCTTGGATGACCAGGTGTGTTGCCAAGGAGCAGTAATATTTTGAAAGGAATCTTTTCTGAGTAGTAGGTCTTAATGGCAGGCGTAAAATATTCAGTGAACCATGCTATAAACAGATGTGCTGTCATCCAGGCTTTGTTGTGCCACTTATAGAGCATAGGCACAGAAGACTTAGCATAATTCTTTTCTTTTTTTTTTTTTTTTTTTTTGTGAGATGGTGTTTTGCTCTTGTCACTCAGGCTGAAGTGCAGTGGCACAGTCTTGGCTCAGTGCTGCCTCCTGGATTCAAGCGATTTTCTCGCCTCTGTTGGCTCACTGCCGCCACCTGGGTTCAAGTGATTCTCCTGCCTCAGCCTCCCGAGTAGGTAGGATTACAGGCGCCCGTCACCATGCCCTGCTAATTTTTTGTATCTTTAGTAGAGACAGGGTTTCACCATGTTGGGCAGGCTGGTCTTGAACTCCTGACTTCAGGTGATCTACCCACCTCGGCCTCGCAAAGTGCTGGGATTACAGGCATGAGCCCCTGCACCCAACCAATTTAGCATAATTCTTAAGGGCCCTAGGATTTTTGGAATGGTAAATGAGCATTGGCTTCAATTTATATCATCAGTTTCATTATCCCCTAACAAGAGAGTCAGCCTGTCCCTTGAAGCTTTGAAGCCAAGCATTGACTTCTCCTCTCTAGCTATGAAAGTCCTAGATGGCCATAATCTTCTTCCAGTGGGAAGCTGTTTTGTCTACATTGAAAATTTGTCATTTTGTGTAGCTACACTCATCAATAGTCTCAGCTAGATCTTCTGGATAACTTGCTGCAGCTTATACATCAGCACTTGCTGTATCACCTTGCACTTTTATGTTACAGAGATGGCTTCCTTCCTTCCTTAAATCTCATGAACCAACCTCTGCTAGCTTCCAGCTTTTCTTCTGCATCTTCCTCACCTCTCAGCCTTCATAGAATTGAAGAGAATTAGGACCTTGCTCTGGATTAGGATTTGGCTTAAGGGAATGTTGTTGCTGGTTTGATATTCTAACCAGACCACTCAAAGTTTCTCCAGATCAGCAATAAAGCTGTTTAGCTTTCTTATCATTCATGTGTTCGCTAGAGTAGCACTTTTAATTTCCTCAAGAATTTTTCCTTTGCATTCACTACTTGGCTAACTGTTTAGTGCAAGAGGCCTAAATTTCAGCCCCTCTTGGCTTTTGACATGCATGTCATCCTAAACGGAATCATTTTTAGCTTTTGATTTAAAGTGAGAGATATGCAACTCTTCCTTTCACCTGAATTCTTAAAGGCCATCGGAGAGTTATTCATTGGCCTCATTTCAAAATTGTTGTGTTTCAAGGAACAGGGGGGCCCCAGGAGAGGGATAGGGACAGGAGAACTGCTCAGTTGGTGGTGCAGTCAGAACACCTTTATCGTTAAGTTCACTGTCTTCTATGGGTGCAGTTGGTGGCACCTCAAAACAATTACAGTAGTAACATCAAAGATGACTGATCAAGGCCGAGTGTGGTGGCTCTTACCTGTAATCCCAGTACTTTGGGAAGCCAAGGTAAGAGGATTGTTCAGAGCCAGGAGTTTGATACCAGCCCAGGCTACAAAGCAAGACCTTATCTCTACAAAAAAAAATTTTTTAAATAGCCAAGTATGGTAGTGCACACCTACAGTCCCAGCTACTCAGGAGGCTGAGGCAAGAGGATCACGTGGGCCTAAGAGTTCAAAGCTACGGTGAGCCAATGAGCTATGATTGTACTACTGTACCCCAACTTGGAAGACAGAGCAAGACCCCGTCTGTAAAAGAAGAAGAAGGAGGAGGAGGAGAGAAGGAAGGAAAGAAGGAAGGAAATCCATCACTAATCACAGATTACCATAACACATGATAATAATGGAAAAGTTTATTAGCACAGGGAGACACGAAGTGAGCACGTGCTGTTGCAAAAATGGCTCCGATAGACTTGCCTGATGCAGTGTTGCCAGAAAACTTGAATTGGTTAAAAAAAATCAGTATCTGTGAAGTGCAGTAAACTGAAGCACAGTAAAATGAGGTGCACTTTGTTCTCAGCAAGCACTTTAGTTGGTCAAGATTCTTTGCCTGGTGAAATGATCCACACCTTCATTCTCGAAGAGTTTTGGCCATTAGTAGTCCTGCCTGAATTAGGTGATCATAGTATGCTATTGACTGTAATTACAGAAACTACTTACAGGTACTCTGGAGCATTTCCCGCATTGCAGAGATATTACTTATTACCCATTGTGTAGTAGCAACTACATTTTCCTTTGGAAATCAGGATTTATCACCCATCCAGTATAGTGCTCCTATCCAGTACATCCGTGTCCTGTTGATTCAGGGGCATAAGGAGACCAAAGTGGCAAGATTGCAGTCTCAACTTCCAGTTCAAAGGAATTATTATTATATCACCTAATAGAAACATTTCTCCTTTTTGGAACTAAGACCTTTAGACCAGCAGAATCTGAAGTAATGGGCATGGGAAGCAAGAGCTCTACTTCACTAAGTATAGTGGGATCACTAAGGATAGTGGGAAAAGAAGGCAGTCCCATATCTATGCCTTTATTCCCAGATTTGGGGCAAATAGCAACCTAAATTAAATGCTGATTTAGAGAAAAGTCCGTATTTGGAGGATACTGTCCAACCACACAAGGTGTTGTCACCTAGCAGTCACAGATGAGTCTTCAAAAGGTCATTTCAGCTTTATCCTCGAGCCTGCTGCTTAAGGATAATGGGGAACATGGTAAGAGCAGTGAATGATGGCAGCCCTCAGGCTCTCTCTTGTCCTCTAGCTTGCTCACTGTGATGGAAATCAGCTGCCAGGTTGTAAGCTGCCCTGTGGAGAGGCCTACATGGCAAGGAACTGGTATATCGGGCCAAAAGCCAGGGAGGACCTGAGGTCCACCAACAGCCATGTGAGTGACCTTGGAAGAAGATTCTCCCCCAGTTGAGCTCTTTGAGATGACTACAACCCCAGCCCAACACCTTGATGGTAGTCTTGTGAGAAACCCTGAGCTAGTATCACTCAGCTGTGTTCAGATTTCTGACCCACAAAAACTGTGAGATGATAAATGTATATTGTTTTAAACTGCCAAATTTTGGGGTTATTTGTTCCACAGCAGTAGATAATTAATGCAACAGCCTTAAACTTAAACTCAGGTGGTTGCATAGCCTAAATAGAAACAACTTTAAACCTTTTTTCGAGACTAAAGCCTTGTAAGGCTCATCTTAGCCCTGATAACTTAGGGTTTAAGGGCATCTATTTCTAAAGATGCACTAAAATGCTCATTGAAGACAATTTGTTCCTACCCTTGCTCCCCTACTAACTGATTATACTTTGCTGTATAATTTATCAGAAAGAAGATATTAAATTTCTTTATCATACTTACCTTTTACTAAGTCACCTTTATTGTTCAGCTTTCCTCTGACCATTTTTTTTCCTTAGGACGGAACTTGCTACTTAGTGTAACTTTTCATTCCCTGTGGGGTTTCATTCTAACAAATTTGGCCTAAATCAGAAGGAGATTGTACATACATTCCCTAGCACATATCCATTTATCTCTAAAGTATTTATTGACACTTACTGTATTCCAGGCACTGTTCTGGAAGCTGGAGACATAGCAGTGAACAAGAGCTCATCATGACCATCTTGTTCTCCATAATTTTAAAAAAGAATGAATTGCTTTCGGGGCCTATGCTAGCAAAAAGATTCTTCCTTTAGAAGCTGGCATCAACATTAGGTTGCATCAAATAAGAAGAGAGTTAGGACCAGCACCCCTATCATTTCCTATACAAAAAAATAAAAACTTACCATTTCTTCAGCCTGACTTAGTGCTTTCCCTCAGAGTCTATAAAAAATGTTGAACAAGATTAATTGTTCAACATCAATTGATTGAGGTGATGGCAGAAAATTCAAACAGAAACAACCAAAGGTTGATGAAGTAGCTTTGAAACACCCAAATTTCTCTGATCAATAATTTCTGTTATATGTAATTTAAAATATTAA